ATAGGTTGCCCGCCACTGTTTAGAAGACTGCACTGGATTTTAAAAGTTCTGTTCACTTCACACTCACTGTCAAGCCGAATTTATTTTTTAAAATGTGATTCCCAAAAAGAAATGCCCAAAACAAAACACAGATAACTGGATTGCCTGGGTTTTCCAAAGATGCTGCCAATTTCACTGCAATCTACTGGCCACTTAAAAAGGATCCCTGACAGTTAAGTCCAGTCGCAGACAACTCTGGGATTGAGGCACTCATCTTGCTTTACAGGCCAAGGGAGCCATCGTTTGTCTGCAGACAACTTTTATGGGTCATGTGGCCAGCAGAACTCAACCGAAACCAGAGCAGTGCACGGAAACGCTGTTTACCTTCCCACTGGAATAGTACCTATTTATCTACTTGCACTTTTTTGGCGTGCTTTCGAACTGCTACGTTGGCAGGAGCTGGGACCGAGCGACGGGAGCTCACCCTGTTGCGGGGTTTCGAACTGCCGACCTTCTGATTGGCAAGCCCAAGAGGCTCAGTGGTTTAGGCCACAGAACCTGGAAGCAAATCTCATTAAACTCAGGAGTTAGTTACGTTTCAAATAAGCACCGCTGAATAAGCAAGGCTGAATACCAGTGAAGTGTGAGTTAATGCAAAACTTGAATGCCACTGAAACTTCAGCTCTGAGTAAAATGGTCAGGAAAAAATGCCTTTATGCTGTCAGGTACTGCCACTCCTCCAAAATAATACACATACCAGTAAGCATCACGTAAACTACAAGATGTTGAAGTTATGTGGCTTGCCAACACAGAAGAGTTGCTATCTATGCATTTCTTAGCGAGTTGTGATAATCAAGTTTTTCTCATGTGCAGTCCTTGCTTTTTTTTTCTAGGGACAGAGCAGTTCCTCGTCCACCATCCCCCCCCCTCCAGCAATCACCCTCTTCCCCTCCCTTTTTTAATACCAGACAGGACACAGTCTGGCGATTCAGGGGCTCACGCAAGCCAGACTTCCTTTAGTGCAGCCCTTTGGGTAGAACTGCTAATCCATCTTACTAATTAACAAGATAATGGTGGTTAGTCAGAAAACAGTATTAATGCTAACCATCTAGGAAACATCAACAGAAATGACTTGGCCTTTTCACTGGTCTCCGGTAGCCAACCCATGCAGCTAAACAGAAAGGTATTTAGATGTTTTAAAATCTGGACATTCAAGTGCATCAGAAGTAAGCACACTTGGCAGAAGTGCATCTATTTGCTGGAAAGTCTGGTGAGTTTCTGCTGAACTCTTGGTTTGGAAATGAAAGCTTTTTCACAACTCTCTTAATATCTTACTTTTAAACAATGTACGAAAATAGGAACAGTGTAATATAACCAGAATGAAAAACATGTGGCAATTATGTGACACATACCAAGACCTACACAAGCTTAGATTGATAGATGATAGATAGATAGATAGATAGATAGATGATGTCATTGTTGTTATTGCCTTTTTAGTGATCAGTAGCAGTATCAAACTTTATTTCGGTCACAGACCAACAAAAGATAAACTGAACACATGCATAATTTTGAGCTGTACAATACAGCTTACAGTATGTATAATAATGCCATACAATGTCTTTTGAGTGTCAAAAGTATAGCAGACAACGGAAGAATTAAATTCTGTAGAAGAGAAATACAAACAAAAAAGTGTGCTTCGGGGGAGAAAGAATTGGAACTTTAACAATCTGCTACTACAGAACTGGGAAAAAAAGTTATCTATTAGACGAAGGATTTCTATTATCTGAAGTTCTACTGCGGCAAACAAATACAACAGCTTTCATTCAGCGATTGTCAAAAAAACTTTCCAATGTGCCCACTGCAATGCAGATGCCAACCAACGAATCAAAGGCATTCAGCAACTAGACAAAGAGGGTTTGATGCCAACCTCGGTGCCACTGGCAACCATTATTGGCATCAAGCACATTGTCTGCTTTATCCTCCCCCACTCTGCCGACACTTGACAAACAAAATGGCGGTTCTTGTAGAAACGGAACACAGCACAAGAGCTGCACTGATTGAATCAAATACTACCAAATGATTTTATGGACTGAAACACAGCTTGAACCAAACATCAGAAACAAGCCCATGAAACCTGTTTCCTTCAAGCGATGTATAGCTTTCACAACATTTAACATTAAGATGAACCCAAGAAACACTGGAACAAGGAGGAAAACCTTTCTTTCTTTCCTTTTTAAAAAAGTATTTATTCTGTGCTGCGTGTTCTGAACACCTGTGGACTAGGAAATCATTTTATTCTAATTTGTTTCCCCATAAAAGCGGTACGAACGCAAGCAAGTGTATCAAGTAACGTTTAATTTCGCTTGTGTCCTGCAAATTCTAAGAGTAGACCCGTAGCAAAAAAAAAAACACCAAAAAGGAAGTGAAGGAGAGACAGGGAGAGTTTTGAGGGGAATGGCTGGGAAGGAGAGTCAGATAAAGCTTGTCAACAAAAACTTGATAGACTGGTCTATATTTCTTCTTCCAGTACAGATCTGGGAAGCAAGTAGAAGAAATCCTCTTTGTCAAAGCACAAAAAAAGGACTGACATTTCTAGATCAGGAAATTCTCAATATATTGTAACATTGCTCTCTGCTCTGCAATGCGGATGCCAACCAACGAATCAAAGGCATTCTAGGCTAAACAAAGAGGGTCCGATGCCAATCCTGGTGCCACTGGCAACCATTACTGGCACTCAAACTGTTCTTCCACATGCTTTTCGCCAATGTTTAAACATGTGCCTTATTTTATCTTTTCATTCATTTAAGAACTTTGTCCTTTTTTAAAAAAATCCCCCACCTTGTCCAACAACTGATTAGATTACTACGCCTTATTGATGAGGCATTACCAAATAGATTTTTCATATACCAAAATAGAAGACCAATCCGCTATAAAAGAGATCATTACTCTGACTGACATTGTGCTTATACCTTTTGCAAGCCTAGCAACCCTTGGTGCCTTGCCTGCCAAAACACAAAAATGAGATTGAGAGTGCAGACTATTCTGAGAACCATTTTAAAAAAGGAGGGGGGAGAATCCTTTTTATATATATAAAGGAAAACAGCCAAGGACCTATTATTTCAAGCATAGAAATACTAGTCGTTTAGCAGATTTCGCCGTCTCCCACAAAAAAAAAAAAAAACCCTGATAGCATACAAAGAGGACGCATAGTATGCAATAAATGGAAGGTTTTCTCAAAGGTGACTTGGTACAAAAATATGTACCAACTTTACATCCACTGTTATTTTTCGCAGTAACTGCAGAAAGGATGAAAAATTCGGAATGATTGTATGATTCAGGCTGATTTAGTGAAAACCGAAAACATCCACTAGGTATCACTAGCAAAATGGTGTTCTCCATCTCAGCCCTGCTCTCAGTTCAAGTGGAATATGTATCAACTTCAAAGCACAGCATCTTAAGAACAGGTAGGCAGGTACAAGAGATGCTATAGCTACGTTGTTTTCATCTGCATTTGACTTTCCGGTGTGCATGAGGCACACATCACCTGGTTATAGCCTTCCTTAAAAACACTTTGAGGTGCAAAAAATAATAATAATTCATTTTTAACACAATGCATTTGTGTTAGCATATACATAACAAAATGCATATGCAAACACCATAGCTTATTTCCTCCTTCTTCCAAGATTAATTTGCAGCACAATCCTAAAGATGTTTACCCTTTCGCAACCCTGCATAGGATTGCAGTCTTAAGAGTCATGTATCATAATTTTCAGATGAAAATCACAGCAAAACAGCTGGGCCGCAACTGGAAGGAAACTAACTGTCTTTAAATCACATTGAAACCAATGAGATTGAAATCGGTAGTAATTTAAGTCCAGTTGATATTTTTATCAATTGAAGTTGCTCTGAATTGGGGCCCTTAATTCTGTTTATGTTTCTTACTGCTAGAAATGAGAGCAGGAAAGTATTTTCATTAGTATACATCAATCCTACAACAGATACTTGGTCATATTTTATTATATAATGATTCCATGTGAAGTTAGGACTAAGCATGGCAAACAAGGATGGAATCATGTAAACTGAACCAGAATATTCAACTTTCAAAGTATTTTAAATTGTAGGTGAAAATCACAAGCCAAACCACCACCACCCATTTTACTTTTAATTTCATCATTATCCTTCTTTTATACTTGGACAAAAAATATGACCTGCTGTCTTTCTTTTAACTACCTTCCAACACCAGGCCGATTTATGCAAAAAGCCACCATCTCCAAACATTATGGGATGTAAGTTCACTTCTCGAAACATGTTTGTTGTATGACTTGAAAACAAAACATTCATTTACCTGGGATTTATTACCGAAAATACATAAAATGGAAAGCAATAATCTAAGTATACAAACAGTTCTGATAGTGACTGCTTATGTGTTTTGTTACATTTTAATGTAACTTCACATTTCCATATTGAAGCAACATTTTTAAAGTTTGTGTATGTTATTGAAATTATAATTTGCAGAAATATTTGGAGAAAGATCAAGCTACGAACACCAATTGTGCCTTGAACAACACGAGATGTTCATACAACGAGCGCTTAGTGCATATTAATATCCAGATGCTACACAGGCCATACTCTAAAACTGAATCTTTTTTGTAGGGGTTAGAGCGTTTCCTTGCTAAAACCATGAAAGAGATAGGAGGCAAGATCTGATATAAACAGATATGAATCTGTTTAAGTAAGTGCATATAGCTTTTGCTCATTTGCTCGTATCAATAGATTTACCAACATTTTAAAACTTCTGCTCTGCAACACACGCTGAAAGCTTCCCCAATATTTCGAACTTCCCTTTTGTTCCAAAAGCTTGGCATGCATTCTCAGAAATACATGTCACTTAAATGTACAAATATGCAAATTAGCATGCACCTGTGTACATGTATGCAGGGAAATATATATGCATATGCTTTGGCTTAAAGGAGAAAGGTCTAAAGGGGGTTCAACATATTCATACAAGGCAAGTAACCTACCTTGATCCTGCACGTAGTACGCCAGAAACAAATCAAGCTCCTTGACTGATACTGTTATGTGATGTGGCTGAACACAAAGTGCTGGATTTGTGCAATGGGGGGATTTCATGAGTCGCTCTCCGTCCGTACTTTCCAAAGGGATACCTTTAAAGAGGATCACCATGACTAGATCCAGACGCCAGACTTTGTCTGCCTGTCGCAGGCAGTCGATTCTCCTAATCTTACCCTTCTGGTCAGGATTGGACAACACACAGCACGGGTGCTTCTTCCCGGTAACAGTTAGCACAAAATCCTCCCGGTACTCTTGGCGGATATCTTTGCGCAGTTTGGCGAGAAGCCTGGAAGCCCACTTCTGTTTAATTTCAGGCTTTTCACTAAGTAGCTCATCCTTGACTGCTCTTTCCTCATCCTTTGACATTCGCTTTTCATGTTTCTTAAAGTACTTGCGTTTTCGAGCCTGAAGGTTGAACCAAGTGTAGGCGATTGCACGGACATGTGGGAGAAGTGCCTCAATGAATGGGTGAAATTCATCCTGTTAGGAGAAGAAACAGGGTGGGGTAGGGGGGAGAGAGAAAAAACTGAAAGATCAGTTCTGTTTGCACGGTGAAAGCAAGAGCAACAGTCCCCCCCTCCATTTCTAAAGTAAAAAATGAATATATATATAAAAAGGCTTTAATACCATGATCACTAGGCACTTTTCGTTTTATTTAACCACAGTTTCAACTTCCAAAAAAATTATAAATAACTGCTCTAAAAATACTTCCACATTTAATTTCTGGAATTCACATGGAGTTTTGGTTTGCATCAGATTCGGGGGGCCCCCACACACACAGCCCTTCGTCTTTGGCCCCCAAATGACAACTCAAATATAACTGCTTCTTAAAATAAAATAGAGCAATAAGTGGCTTCTAACATTTGCAGTTCAGATGTGCGACAAGCTACAGTACCATTTTTGCTAAGACATCCCAGCAGAACCCTTAAGAAGGTAGGTGTGAATTGCACCACACATTTCTCTTCCCCGTGGCACAGAAACACAAAGCATATGCGTGATAAGTGCGGTGCTATACAGTTCCCACTTTTGGAGCACGCTGTCAGCGAGAGACTGATAGCTCAGCAAAGAGCATGCGCTCATAAAATTTGATCCATTTCTCTTATCAATCGCCCAACATTCCAGCGCTGAAACAGGGTCATTCCAGCGCTGATGATGCCTTCGGAAAGCATGGGGAAGTTAAGGAAAGGAGGCAAAAAGGAACATCATGTACAACAAGAGCCAAACCACCTAAGTTTTATGCACCGCACAATTCTACCTTTCCTTTCATAACTTTGTGAAACAAAACTTTACGCACTCAAGAATTAAAATCGCATCATTATTGCTGTCCCAGCAATTTTGCTCCACTCTACTCTGGGGGGTTCAATGCCTTACAGTGTTAGTTAATTTGTTATCTGGTCACGAGTATGTGGCAACTATTTGGCCCCCCCAAAAAAAAAATCTATCTCAGGCATACAATGAAAATGGACAACTTGGCACAAACTTTGCATTCTTTGTGCTTCAGCTGTCTGTGGCAGAGTGACATTAACACTGCATCGTTGGGTAAATCCTGCTTTTCTAAAATACGTGTTATTTATTTATAGTTCTAGAGGGCTCTTCCTATCATCAGGCTATTCCTGAAGATTCATATATTATTTTCCTAATTTTGATATTTATTGCAATTTAGATTATATTCATTACTTTTGGCAATTACGTTACTTTATGAAGTGGAAGATGCTCAAGGTTTCATCTTACAGACATTTCTTTCTGTCACAAACGTAATTATTTTGTAACCAAAACAGCCTAAACACACATGGCAAGTTAATGTATGGTTTTGAAAGAAAACTGTGCCAAAAAAAGAGCACTATTGTTGCTTCCCAACCTTTGGTATATGCATTTCTGAGTGGTTCTAAAGTTAATTTTTTTTCTTCTTAGACTGTTTTTAACTGTTTTTTTTTAATTTTAAAAAAATCACTCCATGTACTTTCAAACTAAACACCGAAGTCATGTTACAAGGAATATAATGCTGATGCTACAATTGTTCCCTTAGAAATTCAAACTGTATTTTTCAGGAGGGCAAAATGTTAAAACACACTGATAGTAACACGTGTTAAATTTGAAAGCAGGTCAAACTGATTTAAATGAACTATTTTATATACAATATATATTTAGGATGGAGGTGCACATTAGATTAAAAGATTGAGTATATTTTATTGCTTTTATAATTACTGCATAGATTGTGCAAGCTGCTGGTTTTCGACCCAAGGAGTTAGTACTGAACAAATAAAGGTATGCTTGTATTTTTGTTACCTAATGTTCTGTATACTAAGCCTTGCATTTTTAGAAGTAAAGAAAATAGAGGTCTTCAGAATTACTGCAGCTTTGGTTTTTTAAACATAAACCTTCCCTTTCTATAGAGAGGGAAATGAACTAAAATAGAATGGATAGTACTCAAAATCATTACAATATAAAGTGAAGCAAAGTGGCAAAATAATCATTAAGTAAAGTGATCAGTAGAGTTTTGAAGATTTCTGTCACTTTGAGGGCTACACCATGGAAAGAGTTAAACCACAATCTGCTCTTTGTGTGGGAAGGCAGCACAGTTCAGAGCAACCACAGCCCATGATAAGACTTCCTTATCTCAATGCTATTTTTTTGTTTTGTTAACTACTACAGTTTATTTCTTTCCTTCAGAAAAGAATTGACCGTGCAAAACAGCTATTCCAGAACTCTGGAATATGTATATGGAAGGAAAGTGGCAATGCAGGCCAATTTGCAAGAAATGAGTGAAGTGGTGGTATCTGGTAGTTTTAAAATTACTGTGCAAAATAGATTTAAGACAGCGTAACACTGATGCCAAGGAAGTACCCTATTCTGTCAGTGATATAGTCCAAGTACAGTATTGTGGATCTTACCAAGAAAACTGTGAAGCCTCGGACTTCAGCATTACTTTTAGGCATGCACCAAATACTGCCATAAAGCACCATTTCTAAGCATGTTTAAGTAAACCCCGTCAAATTCAATGGAACTTACTAATTCAGTCCAGATAATACACCTCAATTTTGCATATTTCAGCTATGTAAGGACCTGCTAAAATCAGGAGCATAATGGATGCAAAGCTATGAGGAAACAAATCTACTGCCATGAAAGTGGAAATAAGAACAGATGTTATTTAAACATGGAACATATATTTTTTAAATAAAATAAAAATTAAACCCTAATACCAAACCCTGCCATTTTGCTGTAGCGTAGAATAACTCTAAAATCTTCAATATACACCTGGGATATTTTTTTTTAAATGCTTGAAAATAAACAACTCAAAGTTTATTCTAGCTGAGACCTGACATACAGACATTCTCCTCAAAACTGTTTAAAGGGTCATTTATGAAAGATGCTATTTTGCGGAGAGTACTGACAGACAAAACACTGCAAATAAAGATGCATGTTGCAATTGCATGTGGCAAGAATTAACATGAATAATCAGCAATCATAATTGCATTTTGCAACCAAGCTACAGTTAGAAAAAGCTTTTCAAATGTTCTAACGTGCATTGGCAATTTGTACATTGTACGCATTGTATGGCAATTTGCATGCATGGACAATTGGTACAAAAATTGTTTATTTAAAACGGTTTATATCTATTCTGTAACTGTAGTATAAAATGGTCAAGTTCTCTCTCCAGAATAGGAACGTGGAAAAATATTTTCACATAACACCTTCTGTCCTTCCCTTCGATTCATTTTCTAGTAGATGTAGGAGACTATTCCCCCCACACACACATACAAAAAGATGACTCCATAACAATATGTTTAAAGGTATGCAAGCTGCTTTAATTGACTTTTTCTGTTCTAAACTGAATCAAAAGCAATGTAGGGGAGAAATAAATTATAGTGAAACCTTTAGGTTTGCTGGACTACTTATGCAGCGAAACTATTAAAAAGTTTCTTAGAATCTGAGCGTTAAAAAGGATCTAACATCTATGCCACAGACCTCAGCAAAGAAAAGCTTTTATTAATTGTACAAAACTGAGGAGGGAAGTATTCTATTACTAATCCTCCATTCTGCATAACAAATATAGATCTCATAGGTACGAAATTCCAGCTGACATCTCACTTACTGTTCTGTCTTACTGAGTGTAGCTGAGTGTGATCCCAAGTTAGTGTGCTTCGGATCACATTTTTAAAATACAGTAACATTTCCACTTCAAAGAAAAAGAGGAAAAAGTCAGGCATACTGAATTCTTTTTACTCCAATGTCTCCTAAGATTTCTGTGCACACATATTTTATAAAGCACTGTCAGGGCTACAACCACAACAAACATCAATTGCTGTGCAAGTGTGGGGAGAACGGCAGCTTTGGGGTTTAATTTTGCTAGATTTTTTTCCCTCCCACAAATGTATATACAGCACAGCAATATGCCATTCAGTATTGAGAAATTAGTGACTTGCAAATTCACAGAGCAAACAGGACTTAGAAAAATGCTGGACGTACAAAACTTCATTTCAAAACTTGGAGGTATGTCTTTAAACCACTCTAGAAGTATTAAAATGATGTATCGCTAGGTTTTTCATGAAACTGTTTGGAGCAGTGGGTTGTATACAAACTGAGCCTGAACAAACTACTTATCTTGGATAAACCAAAAGTGATATTTAACCATGCATATGGCAAATAACTGATAGAACTCACTCAAGAGCATTTGTGAAAATATTGTATTAAAAAAAACAAAAACGCACAAGAAAGGAGGCAAATAGGCAGGAAATAACAACAGACCATAACATATACATAACAACTGGAGGTGCCTTTTAAAGTTTCAACTTTGAAGGTAAATTATGATACATATCTTGTATCAGCACAGAGTAGCAGATAATGAAATCAAGGCAGCGTTCATGTATTTGTAAGCAAATTCCACTTAAACTAGCCAAACTTATTTCTATGCAAATGTTCCCAATATGGAGGTGGAAGTATCAAATTTTGCATGCAGCAGAGTATCTAGTGAATGAAAAAAATATGGTAATGCTGTAAGTCTAAATCTATTACAATATACCTATATGCTGGGATATTGACTTCTTTTTTGACATGTTTCAAATATCTTGCAACACCTTTTCCCACCTGTTTTGCACCAATGAAGTTTACGTTCACTTGCTGAAAAGATCCCCAAGTTAATCACACTTTGATGCCAAACAAAATATAAACAATAAAAAACGTGTCAGCCAAAAAGCTACATGACTGTATCCAATCACTGAATAAGCCTTATCATTGTTTAAATCTTCATTCACAATACTGTGAATGCCTCAGTCCTTTGGAACCACAATGGCTTCTAATTGTCAAATGAAATCTTAATTATTTAACTATATCGCAATGTATGCCACAGAAATATTAAACAACTCAGAGCCTTCTTTCTTTCCATACCTATTAGTCATATAATTGCAGATTAAACCATTAAAATTGCACCCTGCAAAGATTTTAACTAGAACTGTTCAGAACTGACCTAGAGATTCACATTTTACCTGAAATATACTCTGACCACTTAACGATAAATGTTACTAACGTTACATGCTATAGACCCTTAACATCTCACATGGCGCTATGCTGCAATTTATATTGGATCAGAATCTGCAATCCGTTTCTTTTATTTATTTATTCTAAAGCTTTTATCCTGCCAATCATCACAAAAGACTCACCATATGTTAAAACTATAAATACCTTCTTTGCATCAAAGCTATTTGCAGTTAAATCTTTTCGTAACATTATTTGTCCAAATGTTCTACCAAGTAGTAGAATTTATATGCAGTACATAAAATAACTCTTTCTAAGGTCCAAAAGAATACGCAAGCCTGCAGGCCAAAAGTGACAGCAAAAGTTTAATTTTGTTTTTGACCTTGGACGTCGACTTTATAAAGTTACAAAAACCGAAGTGAAGCAGGAAAAATGTACTGGATAGCCAAATGAGAACTTCTACTGCTCAGAGACTTTTTCTTTTCTTTTCTTTTCAATCGAACCTCACATTACTGGAAAGGCTATACAGTATATGATAAAATTCAGCATGGGATCATATTATGTTTCCACTGTCAATGCTTAATTAAAAATAATGGAACACTTTCTCCCTTTGTCACTCAGATACCTAAACAGAAGAGCTGAAACGATGGTAGCAGCAATAGTATTTTCTGGTCTAGATCAATACGATTCATACCTACATTTTCATTATAGACATTTCTAATATATAACCACTGGGATTTATTTCCTCCAGAAACAATTTAACAATATTTAGCAACATCACCGGCATTTAAATAAAATAAAATGTTGCATTCCTTCTTCCGCCCCGCGTCCTTCCCGCACACACCTCGAAGAGTTAAGATTTACACAACTTAACAAAACACATGCAATACAGTTGAGGTCCCCCCCCCCAAAAAAAAAATAAAGTCCGAGCGGCTCGAACAGTTTGCAACTTTTACAAACCCACCCGCTTGCCGAGCGCAAGTTTCGTGGAGTTTTTGTTTTGTTTTTGGATTGGTAAGAAAAGGCGACAAATATCTACCTGAGTGAGACAGATGGGAGAATACATCATGACTTCGCTCTGAGAATGCACTTCTGCGGAGAGAAAAAGTATCAAAAGCGCAAGGGTCTCATCTGTTCATGTTACAGTCATCGGGCGAAATCGGAATCAGAAGGAGCGACCGCGGAGCGCCGCGAGTTCCCGACAAACCCCAGTCCTCCTTAAATAGCCAAAGAGATTCAAGTTCACTCCGAGCGCTGGATTTCCCGGGGTGAAATCCAATCTACACTTTTTAACCCTCTTGTTCTCGGAGACTCCGTCTTGGTGCTGTTGCTGCTGCAGTGGCTGCTGGTGGATTGGGGCTTGGGGGGGGGGGAGAGAAACCGGATGGTGGGGGGGGGGCTGGCTGGCTGGAATGCAGCAGGAGTTAAGGAGGAGGGGGGGTTGGCGAGACTTTTCCCTTCCCTCGCTCGCGCTGCCTTTTGCACCACCACCACTTACTAATACTACCACCACCCCCACTTCTTTCTTTCCCGGATCTGCAATCGCTCTTGGAGAAGCTGTCGCGGCGCGGGGGTTGATACACCACGGTACTGTCAAACCCCGTTGCCAAAGTTCAAGGTTGCTGCGGCGGCGGAGCGGAGCAGGAAAGAAATCCTGGCGCGCGCGGTGATGGCAAGGCGAAAGTTTGCAAAGGAAGAGAGAGCCCTGTGCGCTCGAGCGCCAGCCCGGGAGTGTGCGCGCGCGCGTCCCCCCAAGGCTGCAAAACACTTCGCAGCAGCAGCAGCAGCAGCGCGCAACCGCCGGGCTTCTCTCGCAGCAGCAGCAGCAGCCTGTGCCTCTCTCTCTCTCTCTCCCCTCCCTCCCCTCCACCCCCTTTCTCTGTGGATAATGTTCAGAGCCTGCTTTCCAAACGCCCACTGTAATAAAAATGATCTCTTGAAAATTCAAAACGATCAATCTCTTTCTTTCTCCCCCCCCCTTCTTCTTCTTCCCGTCCTCCTCCTCCTCCCTTCTTCCCCCTCCCCCTCCCTCCTTTATGATCTCCTTTCTGCAAGACCTGGACGTTCAAGAAGGGGAGGGAGGGGGGTGTCCATGTGCGTGTTTTGGGGGGTTTTTTGCATTGCACCGAGCGCACTTCTTCGGGTCCGTCCCGTCCCCCGTCCCCCACGCTCAAGGTCTGCTTCCCCCCCCCCTTTAAGACTTCAGGATTTCGGTTTATTATTTCATTACACCATCGACGCTCGCCCTTCTCCTCCTCCCCCAGCTGCTGCTGCCGCTGCAAACACATTCCTTTCTGAGCCCCCTCCCCTCGCCGTGCCTTTCTCCTCTTTATTAATCATCATCTCGCAGTGTACGAGAGCTCGGCTGCTGCCCGTTTCGCAAACATGCTTTTGCACTTTCTCCCGCTCTCGCCCTCCCCTCCCCCCCCCCCACGGTTAACCGTTAGGGAGAACTCTGTGCTGGGGGAAAGGAGAGAGGAAGGGGGGGTGCGTCTGGGTTTGGGAGAGGAGGACGCACACTGGGGAGAGTGGGGGGGGGTTGGACGGCGGCGGGGAAGAGAGAGATTATTTGCAAAGCGCAAGTTCCCCGAGAGCGCCAAAAGAAGGGAACAGCCCAACTTCGCTCCTGAAAAGCTCCCGCTGGAAAATTCCCGCACAGAAAAAAAGTGGGGGAGGAGGAGGAGGGAACAAAAAAAAGGGAAAGTGCAAGGGAAAGCACCCCCCCTTAAACAAAATAGCCCGCCGCTCTGTGGACATTCGATCTAGCAGTTGCGGGGGAGGCGTGCGGGGGGGCTACAAAACCGGAAACTTTGCCAGCTCGCCACTAATTAGCCAAACAAGAATGGAGAGGGGTGGGGGGGAGGAAATGTGCGCCGGGGGGGTCTTTCTTTGCAGAGGCATTCCCAGCACGGGCAGCGTCTGCAAACCTCGCTACCCTGTCGCCTTGCATGTGGAACCAAGGTCACTGCATTGTGTAGCTAGTGCTGGGGGGGGGCAAAGTGGGGAGGGGGTCTCTCTCGCTCTCTCCGCGTTGCAATATGGAGCTGGGCGTGCTCTTGCAGAGACCCTGTGACGGAACGGAGTTGGGAGGGGGGAGAGAGGAGACGCCCTCCTCCCGGGGAGCCCCTTCCACGTGGCCCCTATCCCCCGCCCGGCGGCAGAGGAGCCGCCGCGCTCACACGCGTGTGCGCTGCTCGGATAGGCTGCTTTCCCGTCCCTCTCCGGCGGGCTTCCCCCCCCCCCGCTCAGCTCAGGGAGGGAATGGGTGGCGGGTTCCTCCTGAGGGGGGAGGAAAGGAAAAAAGCCCGCGGTAGCAACACACTAGTCTGCTTTCAATCTCGCCAGCCAGCTCGTGCCAGGGAACTGAAAAGAGTTCGCGCGCGCGCGGGTTGCAGCCTTTTTTCGCTTCAAGGAATGCAAGCGAATTAAAACAACGCAGGCCGACCAGGTTCTCACACGGTGCGAAGATCCGGGAAAATACTTTTGGGAACGTCTCCCGTCTCCCTTTTCATTCTGTATCCCTGTATATATAAACTCCTGAGGACAGCTGCTCCATGCATGGTGTAGTCTAGTCCATGAAAGCTTGTGTGCCATAAGATTATATATATATATATATTGCATTTAAGGGCTCCTCGCTGTTTTCCTGCAACAGACTCGAAGGAACCCCCCTCGCGGGTTGACAACATAAAGGAGAGGTTGCAAAAGGACAGCCTTCTTAGGTTGCCAACTGGGGAATTTATTTGCCAACTTATTGCACCAGAACATTGCAGCTGTATCAGGGGCACTCCTTTGCTTAAACGCGCCCAACGCTCACCCTGCCCTGCCTCAAATTCTGCAGACTTTGACCTGATGAACCAAAACAGGCAAAAGCGAGACTCTTCCACCAGGCCAGCGCCTGCATGCCTCCTGCCTCAGGTAAACTTTCCTCCTTGGCCTCTCCCTCCAGCCCCTTCCCCCGCTGTGTAAACTGTCCTGAAGGGACCAGTGACTTTTCCTTTTCCCCCTTTTCTTTTTTTTTGCAAAGTGGGATTTATTCACGTCAGGCATTTCACAAGGACACATCAAGAGAAGCAGGCAGGTTCAAGTCAACCATGAAATGGTCACTTTTTAACCCCGTCCTGTCCTCATTAGGGAAATACTCAAACACAACCCATTCTCAAAGGGGTCTCTTAATGAGGGGAGCTTGCCAAGTCGAGCAGCTGCAATTGCCATAAATTTACAAGCCAGAGGGAGGGGGAGGAAACGAGAGAGGGGTTGGTACAAAGCAGGTAATGTCAAAGCAAATGGCTATGGCCAACAGATTAACCCTTCAAAGGCAGCCCACCTCAACTGTAGGTGCACTTCCCATCGGTGTAAACCCATAGAAATAACACTTTTTTCTCTCTTATTAAGGAGTGCTGTAAAGTGACCACTTTAGAGTACTTCACTTTAGAGTGCTTTGCACTAATATAAGATGTGATAAAGTTATTTCGGGGTGAATCACACACAATTTTAAAAAAAATATCAGAAAATGCTCTGAGGCCTACAGGGTGGGGAGGGGGTGACAATTCTGGTTTAAAGACCTGAAGTTTCCCTTGTGAATAAACATTCAGCATGTCCTCCATTAAACCGCCATAAAAGACAAATTCACCAACATACTTGAACGTACCTTTTTTCAGCTGTTGTGACTCTTGAACAACAAGAGTCTTTCTAAAACACACACACACACACACACACACACACACACAAACAAACAAACAAACCACTGAACTATAGACATGGCAATTTTGTGAATGACCCAGACTGTGTGTGTGTGTGTACACAAAACAGCCAAAATCTTTATTTATCTGTTTAATAGCACTGGAGATAAAATAGTGACCTGCAGCACCCCATAACGTAGCTACCAGGGGGCTGAAAAGCGTTCTCCTAATGCTACTCTCTGGAAACTGACCCAAAGGTAGGATCAGAAGGAACTGCTCTGTATTACAGTGCACCCCATTTCCATTCTCCAGAGCTGGTTGGGGAGGGTATCACAGTTAATGGTATGGAAAGCTGAAGAGAGATCAAGAAGCAGAAGATTGGTCACACTCCCCCAACCCTCTCTGTAACGGTCATCCATTAGGGCAACCAAGGCTGACTGAGTCCTTTGGTCAGGCCTGAACCCAGACTAAGACCAATGGGTTTCATTGGAACTGATATTCCATAAGAGCATAAGAGACCCTCCTGGACCGGCCCAATGGCCCATCTAATCCATCACCCTGTTCTTATGGTAGCCAACCAGATGCCTGTTGGGAACCCAAGTAAAACTACGATCAACCTGCAGAAGTCTCAGGTTGTAGCATCCCTTTCAGGCTATGAACTTTTCGGTAGCCTTGGACAAGCTACTGTCCAGCAGAGATAATACTGCTGACTTAGCTCCTTACAGGGTTGTTGGAAAGACTGTTGTAATGTGAAGAACTTTTGGGTAGTCTGAAGTGCTCTTTGCTCACACATTACTCACATTTAGCAGTTTCCGTGTGATGAAGGGGAAGTATGGCTGTGCAGATGTCCTCACCCTCAAGGCTGAACAGGCCCCACATCTGACACATGTGTTAAGACACAGAGGGTCTAAGTGAAGGTCTTCATAATACCTCTGCGCAGTCAGGGTTCCAGCTCCTGGGAAGCTGTATGCATGTAGGCATAGCCTTCACCAGTATAGATGTCCACACCTAACATGTGAATGTCAGGTCAAAGGAGATCACAGGACTGCAAGGGCCAGCAGCACAGCCCCAAAAATTTTTGATCACCTAACGGGGGCTTGGGCAGAGTACTTCCATTTACATGGTTCCATTGTTTCATAATTACCACCTCACATGCACCATGTGCACAGAATTCTGTTTTTCCACGTAACTGAACTTTGGCAGCAAGTCCATCAGTTTTGTGTAATCACAATGAATACATTTTAAATGTCTCCTTCCTTTCATTTCTGAAAGCGAGTGGTGGATCAAGGTAGTTTTCAATCTTAGAATTACGTTCTCAGTGTGAACGTCATGGTACAGTGGATGCTCGGGTTGCGAACGTGATCCATGTGGGAAGCACGTTCGCAACCCGCAGTGCCACAATGCGCGGGTCGCGATTTGATGCTTCTATGCATGCACAAAGCACAATTTAACACATCTGCGCGAGCGCTGAAACCCGGAAGTAACCCGTTCTGGTACTTCCAGGTTCAGCACATTGCGCAATCCAAAAACACGCAACCTAAAGCGTCTGAAACCCGAGGTATGACAGTACATGGAATCATAGAGTTGGAAGGGACCATGAGAGTTATCTAGTCCAACCCCCTGCAATGCAGGAATCTCAGCTAAAGCATCCATGACAGATGGCCATCCAGCCTCTGCTTAAAAACCTCTAAGGGAGGAGAATCCACCTCCTCTTGTGGGAGTCAGTTCCAATGTCGACCAGCTCTTAATTGTCAGAAAGTTCTTCTGTATGTTTAGCCGGAATCTCCTTTCTTGTAACGTGAAGCCATTGGTTCAAGTCCTACCCTCTAGAGCAGAAGAAAACAAGCTTGTTCCCTCTTCCATGCCATTGAGATATTTGAAGATGGCGATCATACCTATCCAAACTGTCCAAAACTATCATAAATCAGTACAAAACTGATTTTGAAGGGAGATCTCAAACCGCTAACAAACAGAAAACACCGCAACATAGAAACTAAATTGAAAGCTTCACTTCGTTTTGACATTAAATATCCAGACTTGCATTGGATCAGTCCCATCTACAATTGGATACCACACTGCATTGGCTAGTTTGATCCTTTCCAAGGCCTGGAGCACCCATACTGTTGTTACTGTAGCACTGGTC